ACATGGAGAACTATATTAGAGGGTCGCCACAACATGGAGAACTATATTAAAGGGTCGCCACAACATGGAGAACTATATTAAAGGGTCGCCACAACATGGAGAACTATATTCAAGGGTCGCCACAACATGGAGAACTATATTAAAGGGTCGCCACAACATGGAGAACTATATTAAAGGGTCGCCACAACATGGAGAACTATATTCAAGGGTCGCCACAACATGGAGAACTATATTCAAGGGTCGCCACAACATGGAGAACTATATTAAAGGGTCGCCACAACATGGAGAACTATATTAGAGGGTTGCCACAACATGGAGAACTATATTCAAGGGTCGCCACAACATGGAGAACTATATTAGAGGGTCGCCACAACATGAACTATATTCAAGGGTCGCCATCTAGACGATCTGTATACCTTGCTGTGTACAACGTTGATGTGGCACTAGTAGCAGAACAAGACAACTGATGCTCTTCTGTCTGGGTGATGTCTTCCAAGACATGTCTACCTGTGACAGCATCAAGACAGCTGATGCCTGGGTGGTGTGTTACTAGGCTTATCTACCCCACGTCTTTCTGTGACCTAGTACCGTCTACGTGTGACCTATTGCCGTCTACCTGTGACCTAGTGCCGTCAAGCTGTGACCTAATGCCGTCTACCTGTAGATAATGCCGGTTAGGATTCATTGGTGGGAATGACGGTCAGCCACCTGAGCAGTATTTTCTCTCATTATTTTGTACTTGATGTGTCCTGCAGCGTTGATAACTGCTGGGATGTGCCCTGCAGCGTTGATAACTGCTGGGATGTGCCCTGCAGCGTTGATAACTCCTGGGATGTGTCCCTCAGCGTTGATAACTGCTGGGATGTGTGTTGCAGCGTTGATAACTGCTGGGATGTGTCCCTCAGCGTTGATAACTGCTGGGATGTGTGTTGCAGCGTTGATAACTGCCGGGATGTGTGTTGCAGCGTTGATAACTGCTGGGATGTGTCCCTCAGCGTTGATAACTGCTGGGATGTGTGTTGCAGCGTTGATAACTGCCGGTATGTGTGTTGCAGCGTTGATAACTGCTGGGATGTGTCCCTCAGCGTTGATAACTGCTGGGATGTGTCCCTCAGCGTTGATAACTGCTGGGATGTGTGTTGCAGCGTTGATAACTGCTGGGATGTGTGTTGCAGCGTTGATAACTCCTGGGATGTGTGTTGCAGCGTTGATAACTGCTGGGATGTGTGTTGCAGCGTTGATAACTGCTGGGATGTGTCCCTCGGCGTTGATAACTCCTGGGATGTGTGTTGCAGCGTTGATAACTGCTGGGATGTGTCCCTCAGCGTTTATAACTGCTGGGATGTGTGTTGCAGCGTTGATAACTGCCGGGATGTGTGTTGCAGCGTTGATAACTGCTGGGATGTGTCCCTCAGCGTTGATAACTCCTGGGATGTGTGTTGCAGCGTTGATAACTGCCGGGATGTGTGTTGCAGCGTTGATAACTGCTGGGATGTGTCCCTCAGCGTTGATAACTCCTGGGATGTGTCCCTCAGCGTTGATAACTGCTGGGATGTATGTTGCAGCGTTGATAACTGCTGGGATGTGTGTTGCAGCGTTGATAACTGCTGGGGTGTGTCCTGCAGCGTTGATAACTGCCGGTATGTGTCCTGCAGCGTTGATAACTGCTGGGATGTGTCCCTCAGCGTTGATAACTCCTGGGATGTGTCCCTCAGCGTTGATAACTGCTGGGATGTGTGTTGCAGCGTTGATAACTGCTGGGATGTGTGTTGCAGCGTTGATAACTGCTGGGATGTGTGTTGCAGCGTTGATAACTGCTGGGATGTGTGTTGCAGCGTTGATAACTGCTGGGATGTGTGTTGCAGCGTTGATAACTGCTGGGATGTGTGTTGCAGCGTTGATAACTGCTGGGATGTGTGTTGCAGCGTTGATAACTGCTGGGATGTGTGTTGCAGCGTTGATAACTGCTGATGGGTTGCAGCGTTGATAACCCTCAGCGTTGATAACTGCTGGGATGTGTGTTGCAGCGTTGATAACTGCTGGGATGTGTGTTGCAGCGTTGATAACTGCCGGGATGTGTGTTGCAGCGTTGATAACTCCTGGGATGTGTCCCTCAGCGTTGATAACTCCTGGGATGTGTGTTGCAGCGTTGATAACTGCTGGGATGTGTCCCTCAGCGTTGATAACTGCCGGGATGTGTGTTGCAGCGTTGATAACTGCTGGGATGTGTCCCTCAGCGTTGATAACTGCTGGGATGTGTGTTGCAGCGTTGATAACTGCTGGGATGTGTGTTGCAGCGTTGATAACTTCTGGGATGTGTGTTGCAGCGTTGATAACTGCTGGGATGTGTCCCTCAGCGTTGATAACTGCCGGGATGTGTGTTGCAGCGTTGATAACTGCTGGGATGTGTCCCTCAGCGTTGATAACTGCTGGGATGTGTGTTGCAGCATTGATAACTGGCGGGATGTGTGTTGCAGCGTTGATAACTGCTGGGATGTGTGTTGCAGCGTTGATAACTGCTGTGATGTGTGTTGCAGCGTTGATAACTGCTGGGATGTGTGTTGCAGCGTTGATAACTGCTGGGATGTGTCCCTCAGCGTTGATAACTGCTGGGATGTGTGTTGCAGCGTTGATAACTGCTGGGATGTGTCCCTCAGCGTTGATAACTGCCGGGATGTGTGTTGCAGCGTTGATAACTGCTGGGATGTGTGTTGCAGCGTTGATAACTGCTGGGATGTGTGTTGCAGCGTTGATAACTGCTGGGATGTGTCCCTCAGCGTTGATAACTGCTGGGATGTGTGTTGCAGCGTTGATAACTGCCGGGATGTGTGTTGCAGCGTTGATAACTGCTGGGATGTGTGTTGCAGCGTTGATAACTGCTGGGATGTGTCCTGCTGGGATGTGTGTGTCAGCGTTGATAACTGCCGGGATGTGTGTTGCAGCGTTGATAACTGCTGGGATGTGTCCCTCAGCGTTGATAACTGCTGGGATGTGTGTTGCAGCGTTGATAACTGCCGGGATGTGTGTTGCAGCGTTGATAACTGCTGGGATGTGTCCCTCAGCGTTGATAACTGCTGGGATGTGTGTTGCAGCGTTGATAACTGCTGGGATGTGTGTTGCAGCGTTGATAACTTCTGGGATGTGTGTTGCAGCGTTGATAACTTCTGGGATGTATGCAAGCATGCTGAATAGGAGTTATTTGGATACATCTCTTGAGATGTCGTGGACCCAAACGTCCTTGTTGACACTGGGTGGTTGTTTGTCAACAACTGCATTTAGGTTTATCTGTATACATCTGCCTGTCTATCTGTGAATATCTGCCAGTTTATCTATATACACCTGTTCGGTTTATCTGTGTATATCTCAGCCCCACCAGACACAACTGACACTCCACCAGACATAACTGACACTCCACCAGACATAACTGACACTCCACCAGACACAACTGATACCCCACCAGACACAACTGACACTCCACCAGACATAACTGACACTCCACCAGACACAACTGATATCCCACCAGACACAACTGACACTCCACCAGACACAACTGACACTCCACCAGACATAACTGACACTCCACCAGACATAACTGACACTCCACCAGACACAACTGACACCCACCAGACACAACTGACACTCCACCAGACACAACTGACATACTACCAGACATAACTGACACTCCACCAGACACAACTGACACTCCACCAGACATTACTGACAATCCACCAGACATAACTGACACTCCACCAGACATAACTGACACTCCACCAGACACAACTGACACTCCACCAGACACAAGTGACACTCCACCAGACATAACTGACACTCCACCAGACATAACTGACACTCCACCAGACATAACTGACACTCCACCAGACACAACTGACACTCGACCAGACATAACTAACACTCCACCAGACATAACTAACACTCCACCAGACATAACTGACACTCCACAGCTGACACTCCACCAGACATAACTGACACTACACCAGACATAACTGACACTACACCAGACATAACTGACACTACACCAGACACAACTGACACTACACCAGACATAACTGACACTACACCAGACATAACTGACACTACACCAGACATAACTGACACTACACCAGACACAACTGACACTACACCAGACATAACTGACACTACACCAGACACAACTGACACTACACCAGACATAACTGACACTACACCAGACATAACTGACACTACACCAGACATAACTGACACTACACCAGACACAACTGACACTACACCAGACATAACTGACACTACACCAGACATAACTGACACTACACCAGACATAACTGACACTACACCAGACATAACTGACACTACACCAGACACAACTGACACTACACCAGACATAACTGACACTACACCAGACATAACTGACACTACACCAGACATAACTGACACTACACCAGACATAACTGACACTACACCAGACATAACTGACACTACACCAGACACAACTGACACTACACCAGACACAACTGACACTACACCAGACATAACTGACACTACACCAGACATAACTGACACTACACCAGACATAACTGACACTACACCAGACATAACTGACACTACACCAGACATAACTGACACTACACCAGACATAACTGTCACTACACCAGACACAACTGACACTACACCAGACACAACTGACACTACACCAGACATAACTGACACTACACCAGACATAACTGACACTACACCAGACATAACTGACACTACACCAGACATAACTGACACTACACCAGACACAACTGACACTCGACCAGACACAACTGACACTACACCAGACATAACTGACACTCGACCAGACATAACTGACACTACACCAGACATAACTGACACTACACCAGACATAACTGACACTACACCAGACACAACTCACCACTAACCCATTCTGCCTGATAAAGCGCACCTATGTTCTCTAACATGCATGACTTATCCCCATGCCAACCCGCCCACACTTTTTGCAGATGGTGACACAGAAGCCAAGGTAGATCAGCAGCCAGTGATGGCCGACTCGGAGATTGCCAATATTGTCGATTCGGTTATCCTCAACAATGACGAGAATAATGATGGATACATCGAGTACTTTGAGTTCAAACGTCGACAGAGCGTTGCCCACCATGACTCGCCTTCAGCACAGCAACATCAGGACTCACCACCATCTCCTGCACATGAGGACAAACATTAGACTGCTGGCTGCATGTGCTCTTGTCTGGTGTCTGCTGACTCCTTTGATTTTGGTCACAGATTTCCCACCTGCTACTTGTCTAGTGGTTGTGTGATGTCTGCAGCTACTTATTTGTCTAGTGGTTGTGTGATGTCTGCATGGTGTCTCTCTCTTACTGCATGGTGTCTGATATCTGACTGAGCTGTCTGTGTTTGAGTAAACTCCAGAGAATGAAATGATACTCTTTTTGGGGGGCAAAAGGGAGGGAGGGGGGGGGGGATAAAGAAACAATTGAATGATGAGTGTAGAATCAGTTGAAGAGTGGTATCTGGTGATTGACTGACAGCCTGTCTCAGTTACAGGAGGTCTCACCAGTGGTTTATAGCTGCTACAGTGACTTGGGATCACATGTGATGTCACAGTCACATAATCAGATCCCAGGAAGATTGTGGAAAGTTGACAGAGAATGTGGGAAGATAATTGAGATTGTGAGAAAATGAGTGAGATTGTGGGAAGATGATTAAGATTGTGGGAAAATGAGTGGGATTGTTGGAAGGTGAGGAAGATTGTGGGAAGATAATTGAGATTGTGAAAAAATTAGGGGAACGCTGGAAAGATGAAAGAGATCTGTAGGAAGCCTATGGGGATCATCATGATTATGGGAGAAGAGTAAAAGTGATCTAGTCATATTTATTTACATATCAGTTGTTTGTGGGGCAGTCTTGAGGAACTTGTGATGTTTGTGGGGCAGTCTTGAGGAACTTGTGATGTTTGTGGGGCAGTCTTGAGGAACTTGTGATGTTTGTGGGGCAGTCTTGAGGAACTTGTGATGTTTGTGGGGCAGGGTTGAGAAACTTGTGATGTTTTTGGGGCAGAGTTGAGGAACTTGTTTGTGGGGCAGACTTGAGGAACTTGTGATGTTTGTGGGGCAGGGTTGAGGAACTTGTGATGTTTGTGGGGCAGGGTTGAGGAACTTGTGATGTTTGTGGGGCAGGGTTGAGGAACTTGTGATGTTTGTGGGGCAGAGTTGAGGAACTTGTGTTGTTTGTGGGGCAGAGTTGAGGAACTTGTGATGTTTGTGGGGCAGACTTGAGGAACTTGTGATGTTTGTGGGGCAGAGTTGAGGAACTTGTGATGTTTGTGGGGCAGACTTGAGGAACTTGTGATGTTTGTGGGGCAGTCTTGAGGAACTTGTGATGTTTGTGGGGCAGAGTTGAGGAATTTGTGATGTTTGTGGGGCAGAATTGAGGAACTTGTGATGTTTGTGGGGTAGACCTGAGGAACTTGTGATGTTTGTGGGGTAGACCTGAGGAACTTGTGATGTTTGTGGGGCAGAGTTGAGGAATTGGTGATGTTTGTGGGGCAGAATTGAGGAACTTGTGATGTTTGTGGGGCAGACCTGAGGAACTTGTGATGTTTGTGGTGCAAGGACTTGAAATTCTCCTGATCTTCAAGATGCTGAAGTTGTCCTTTGTGAACCTGTCCATGTTGCTAAGATGTTGGTCTCATGGGTTTTGTGTTGTCCATTGCTATGGGGAACAGTTACAGGCATATGTTGTTACATATATTTTTTGTAGATGGGCGTCTAAAACAGTAGACTGTAACATGTAGGTGTACATGTAAAACAGTAGACTGTAACATGTAGGTGTAGATGTAAAACAGTAGGCTGTAACATGTTGTAGGTGTAGATTGTAACATGTTGTAGGTGTAATGTAAACTAGTAGATTGTAACATGTTGTAGGTATACATGTAAAACAGTAGACTGTAATATGTAGGTGTACATGTAAAACAGTAGACTGTAACATGTTGTAGGTGTAGATTGTAACATGTTGTAGGTCTAATTTAAACTAGTAGATTGTAACATGTTGTAGGTGTACATGTAAAACAGTAGACTGTAACATGTAGGTGTACATGTAAAACAGTAGACTGTAACATGTAGGTGTACATGTAAAACAGTAGACTGTAACATGTTGTAGGTGTAGATTGTAACATGTTGTAGGTGTAATGTAAACTAGTAGATTGTTACATGTTGTAGGTGTACATGTAAACTAATAGGTTGTAACATGTCATTGTTGTATGTGAACATTTGGTTTTAATGTGTTAGTAGATGTGTAAAACAGTACTTTGTAATGTGTGGATGTGTTACAGGTAAAAGTAGGTAGTAACATATTTACTGTAAGTTTGAAATGTTACATGTCATAATGTGTTGCATGTATGTAACAGTACATCTTAATATATTAACTGTAATTTAAAATGTTACATGTAATAATGTGCTGTATGTATTTAACAGTCGATCCTAACATATTTACAGTAATTTAAAATGTTACATGTCATAATGTGCTGTATATATGTAACAGTAGATTGTAACATATTTACTGTAATTTAAAATGTTACATGTCATAATGTGATGCATGTATGTCAAAGTAGGTTATAATATATTTACTGTAAGTTTGAAATGTTTCATGCCATAATGTGCTGCACATCCTAGTTATGCCATTTGGGCTGAATAATTTGCCATTATTTTATTGATATTAAATCTACTTCACACTCAGTGTGTGCTGTCATGTAGCAGTGTGTTCTAGCTGTATGTTTGCTCTGACAGTCTCTTCACACATTAGGCTACATCACACATCTCTGGCTTATATCACACATCTCCTGACCACAATACACATCTTTGGCCTACATCTCACACATCTCCTGATTACATTAAACCTCTCATTACATCACACATCTCCTGACTAAATCACATATATCTCCTGGTTACATCAGACATTTCCTGACCATATAACACATCTCTTGACTACATCACACATCTCTTGACTATATCACACATTTCTTAACTACATCACACATCTCTTGACCACATCACACATCTCTTGACTACATCACACATCTCTTGACTACATCACACATCTCTTGACTACATCACACATCTCTTACTACATCACACATCTCCTTACTACTTCACACATCTCTTGACTACATCACACATTTCCTGACTATGTCACCTATTTCTTGACTACATCACACATTTCCTGACTACATCACACATTTCCAGACTACATCACACATTTCCTGACTACATCACACATCTCTTACTACATCACACATCTCCTTACTGCTTCACACATCTCTTGACTACATCACACATTTCCTGACTACATCACACATTTCCTGACTACATCACACATTTCCTGACTACATCACACATCTCCTGACTGTCATCTATTTCCTGACTACATCACACATCTCTTGACTATGTCACTTGTTTCCTGACTACATCACACATTTCCTGACTATGTCACCCATTTCCTGACTACATTACACTTTTCCTGACTACATCGCACATTTCCTGACTATGTCACACATTTTTTGATTACATCACACATTTCTTGACTACATCACACATTTTTTTTTTACATCACACATTTCCTGACAATGTCACCTATTTTCTGACTATATCACCTATTTCCTGATTACATCACACATCTCCTGACTACATCACCTATTTTCTGACTACATCACACATCTCCTGACTACATCACCTATTTCCTGACTACATCACACATCTTCTGACTTTATCACCTATTTCCTTACCAGATCACACTTCCTATATACATCACACACACACATCTCCTGACTATGTCATCTATTTCCTGACCACATCACACATTTCCTGACTAAATCACCTATTTCCTGACCACATCACACTTCCTGTATGCATCACACATTTCCTGAGTTACTAATTTCCTGACTACATCACACATTTCCTGACTACATCACATATTTCCTGACTATGTCACTTATTTCCTGACTACATCACTTATTTCCTGACTATGTCACATATTTCCTGACTACATCACTTATTTCCTGACTATGTCACCTATTTCCTGACTATGTCACATATTTCCTGACTATGTCACATATTTCCTGACTACATCACTTATTTCCTGACTATGTCACACATTCCTCACTACATCACACATTTCCTGACAACATCACACATTTCCTGACTACATCACATATTTCCTGACTACATCACACATTTCCTGACTACGTCACACATTTCCTGACTACATCACACATTTCCTATGTACTGCTGTACATTTGTGGGACAGTGGCTCAACTGGGACACGGCTGTACATTTATGAGAGGATGACTAAACTGGGACCCGCCTGTACATTTATGGGAGGTAGGCTAAACTGGGACACGGCTGTACATTTATGGGAGGTAGGCTAAACTGGGACCCGCCTGTACATTTATGGGAGGTAGGCTAAACTGGGACACGGCTGTACATTTATGGGAGGTAGGCTAAACTGGGACACGGCTGTGCATTTATGGGAGGGTGACTAAACTGGGACACGGCTGTGCATTTATGAGAGGATGACTAAACTGGGACCCGCCTGTACATTTGTTGGACGTGGCTAAACTGGGACCCGCCTGTACATTTATGGGAGGTAGGCTAAACTGGGACACGGCTGTACATTTATGGGAGGTAGGCTAAACTGGGACAAGGCTGTACATTTATGGGAGGTAGGCTAAACTGGGACCCGGCTGTACATTTATGGGAGGTAGGCTAAACTGGGACCCGGCTGTACATTTATGGGAGGTAGGCTAAACTGGGACACGGCTGGTTCTGGCCTGGATCAGTTATCTCCGTTGTTTTGTTGTCAAAAATGATCCGTCTTGTAACAAACAGTTTGAGGGTGTGTTCGCATTTATTTGTTCACAACATAAGTTCTATGTCTAATTTTAAAAGAGTTGAAGGGCCGTGTCTGCTATTAAGAGAGCTGAAGTTCTAACCTGACTGAAGGTAGTTGGCCGAATCGACTAGTAATTATTTCACTGAGCACATGGCTTGTCTGTTGCAGACGATGACGCGAGAGAAGGCGGGCGACCGGCTCGTGCCTACAGCGACCTGGAGATAGCGGAAGTGGTTGATGCGGCTCTTCTGTCTGACGACCTTGACGGAGACGGCTATGTGGAGTACCCAGAGTTCATGGCGGCACTGGCCCGCCGCT